AAAAAAAAAAAAAAAAAAAAAAAAAAAAAAAAAAAAAACATTTTACTGTAAAGCATAGCCCCCCAAAAATGGAGACAAAAAGATTTATAAAAATAGGTGACTATCCCAAATTCTTATTTTAAAAGTTTGTTTTATTCTCATTTACACATTATACAGTTACTGTTGCTTTACTATAAAGGGTATCTGAGGCAATTACCTTATAAAATGGTTTATTTTGGGGCTGGGGATTTAGCTCAGTGGTTCTGCCACCTGCCTCACAAGTGCAAGATCCCAAATTTGATTCCCAGTACCAAAACAAAGCAAAAAAAAAAAAAGGGTTTATTTTGGCCCACGGTTCTGGAAGTTGCAGTCCAAGATGAAAGCACTCCATTGCTTTGGGTCTCTGGTGAGGGTAGCACATCATAGTGGGACCACATGGTGGAGTAAACCACTTACATCAGGGGCCAGGAAACAAAGACAGGAAGAGCGCAATCCCACAACCCCTTTCAAGAGCATCCCTCAGTGTCCTAAGCACCTCCCATTAGTCACCCTACCCGTTTTTGCAGTACTGGAAATTGAACCCAAGGGCACTCTACGACTAAGATATACTTCCAGTCCTTTTAATTTTCAGACAGGGTCTTTGCCAATGTGCCCAGGCTAGGCTTGAACTTGAAGTCCTCCTGTCTCAGCCTCCTGAGTAACTAGGATTACTACCCAGCTAGACCTCATCCCTTAAAGGTTTCACCACCTCCAGACAGTGTTACTATGGTGACCAAGCCTTTAGCAGTGGGCCTTTGGAAAATGTTTTACATCCAAAGTACAGCACAATAATATATTTCTATTTAAGAAGCATACCTGTGGTAGAAATTTAATACAAAGATACTTTCAAGCTGTCTTGTAAAAACCCATTTAGTATAAAGGAAAATTCTGTTGACTCATGTTGTGTACACCATACTGGCCCCCAAATGAGGGACAATCATTCTAAAGGCAAGTTTGTATAAAATCAACCAGATAACAATGGAACTAGAATGTAGAGTCTTCCATCTGTGCCAGAAAACTAATAAAAATGAATACATCAATACAAATAAATACATCAATAAATATGTCATTAAGGCTGCTTGACTTTGACTTGAGAGCTCTGTGTAAAATCCCCATCCAAAATGAGTGCATCCTACTGAGATATGCCTACTTTTCCTGCTTTATCCTGCCAGCCTTTCTTCCTCAGGAACAAACATGCTACTGCAGAAAGAAAATGCATTATCTACCATATTTTGAAAAATTACATAAAAGCACATTTGTGGTGTCAGATGGATTTCATAATGAGTCAAGAATGGTAATATGACACATATATTACATGATAACGTAATACCTAAGTAAAGCCTTGGTATGTTCCCAATAATGTAGCGTATTAGTATTTCTGCTGAGAAATAGGAGTATCTCCAGTAAACAGGATGAAGACTAAAAAGCTGTATGCCAATTTAGATATAATTTGATGCCATATGACTTTTAGTATCAAACAGAACCATTTAAATTTCAGATTTTAAAATGAATAAATAAGCATTGGTCCTAACAGCAGTTAATAGGTGTTTTTGGCTTGATTATAAGTATTTAGAAAAATGGGGGAAGAAAAGGGTAGAAGTGAACTATTTTTGTTTGTAGTTTACATTTTGAGAAACTAGAACAGGTAGAAATTGAGAGTTCAGCTGCTATGAAAGCTTTGAATAGAAGTCTAAATTGAAATGAATTTAGAAATCATCATCAGATCATCCATTAAAGACTATGAGTGGATGAGATACAAGAGAGTTTACATCCAGTAGGGAAAATTACTGCACTGAATACAAAGATCACACAACCAGACCATTAAAATTCTTAACTAATTTATTTTAAAATAGACAAACTATTAATTGTAGAAAATAGTAACATAGCAATTTTAAATTAGTTTTAACCAGTACAAAAAAGCAATATATCATTTGAAGCCTTAAGAAATCTGAATACATAATAACTGAAATTCCTAAATTTGTCACTAATTCTAAAGTGAACTTATTAGCAAAAAATCCAGAAGTACGGTATGCCCATGACCTAACAACTAACTGATTTGTATGATATTCATGCAAAATTTAATGAGGAAATTGGGTAAAGCTTTCTAGTGCTTTTGTTATCAAGATAACTGACTAAACATTATGTTTGAAACTCAACTGAGCAAAAAATACTGTTTTCTAACAAAAGAGAACAATTTCTTTTAAAAAAGAACTCTGAGTTTAGACAAAGTGATTTTCCTAACTGCTAGCTGATGCTACCTTAAATACCACCTATTTTAAATTATACATTCTCTAAATAAGTTAATCATACAAGATCGTTTAAATACACCTTTAGGTGCAGGAGAGGAAGAGAAGTGCCTCTTTTTCTAATGTGGATATTTTGAAGTTTTTGCACAAACTCAGAAACATTAATGCCTAACTTACAAAGACTCTTGCCTACTTGCAAAGTTGAATTAAGGTGGCTTTGAACATGCCAGTGTTAGACCATACCCACTTAAAATAGAAGATAAATAGGTAACTGCCAGTTCAAAAGATACATGGAAGACATGTACCATTCCAGAGAAAACACAAATCTTCCCAAATTTAGGAAGGCAAATTAATTTATATCTCAATTCTTAAGGACCCAGAAACATTACAAAGTGCACTTGGGATATACTGTATCAGGGTCCTCTGCAGCAAAGCTCTCACAAGACACTATTTTTTCAAGTACTAGATGGGTACTTACAAATTCAGAGATCTGAATGGGAAAAACTTGAGTATTATTAATAATCCTCATTTTAAAGCAGAGTTGGATAAAAGAATAAGTTCTTGCAAGTTCTGAGGTATGAAAACTGTGTCAGTAGTATGACTATTATTTTTTGCTTGTACTTAACAAGCAACTTTTAAAACAAGCACAGAATACATCAGTATTCTGTGGAATACATTTAGTATTCCAATACTAAAATAAAATATAATGTGTAAAAATTAGTAATTTTTCTCACAGTTTCTAATAATCTGTTTTAGGAGGAGTTCAGGATAATTGGGTGAATGGGCAAATTGTAGTTGGAAGACAGGACACAGTTTTTAAGGGTGTTCACGTTAAATTTTAAAATGTACATATAAATTAATAAAAACAAGCAAACATCACATGTATGCTATACAGAAGGCAAAGTAGACAGGTATATGTTAGAACTCCCACTCCAAAGACAGCCTTAACTATTCTTAAAGCACAGCAATTTTACTTTACTGTTTAGAAATGCAAACATTATCTGCTATAACTTTTTAAATGGCAGGATTTACACAAGATTTTCAATCTTGTATAACAACATGAATATACCATTGACTACAACATTTAAAGTAGCTTAGGAATTACCCACACAAATATCCAACTTGCATCTCACATTTTATTTCTACAAAAAGAGCTGCAGATACTACATGTGGCTGCAAATAGAACCTGGGAAAATTACAGTCACATCTGTGAGAGACAATGCAGCAAGAGGTGTATACAGTGTCAGCCACGGTCCTGAGATCCTCACTTTTCATCCTTGTTTGAGGTATCCATGCTGTCAATCATTTTCTGCTTTTGCATTCGTGTTCTAGTAGATGCTAGAAAGGGATGAAGACCTGTTAATAGCACTGACAGTAGTGCATAAGTTGGCAAGGACCTACCAAACATATCATGCTATGTCAAACTGATGGAGCTCAGACTTTAAATAAAGTGTCCTCCAAAATTTTTAAATCTTATTCCCTGTCTGTAAAATTTTTTTCAAGCATGTACCACCAAAAGTTCTGTCGGTACTGTATATGCATGTACATTATGACACACATACCCTAAATATTAAAATGAGATGAGATTAAAATAAATAGAACTTCTCATATTTTCTTCATGCACTCCCCCAACTGGTTCCCATATTCCCATTCCCCACTTTGCAGAACACCGTTCCACAAATGATGTGTTGAACGCCTGATGCATTTGAACAGACTAGAACCATGGACTAATGGGTCTGCCAAAGTAAGTGGTAGTATTCTCTACACAGACGGGGATTCCCTTGTGTTTGGATATGGCTTACAGGTACTGCAAAATTAAATTGCACATTAACATTTTAAAATAATTATTAACTATAATATAGCCAGGGATTTAACTTAGTGGTACCACTGCCTGCCTCACAGGTGCAAAGTCTTGAGTTCAATCCCCGGTACCCCACCCCCAAAAACTTATAATATGGACAAAACCAAAACACTTATTTTAATTAAAAAATAATGAACTTGACTTTAGGGATGGGCAGGTGGTACAGCTCAGTAGGGGAGAGAGACGGAGGAAGAGGGGGATGAGGAAGAGAAGGAACGAAGGAGAATGAAAGAAAAGACAAAAAGGGAAAGAAAAGGAAAGGAGGGAGGGAGGAAGGAAAAAAGAAAAAGAATAAAAGGAAGAAAAGGAAGGAAGGAAATGCACATCTGGAAAAGAAAAAGCCAACAGCTCCTTCACCTCTTCCACTTGACCACCATACAGTTAGCACCACATGATGCTCTTTCTTAAATGCCAATTTTTAAGCGAACTAGAGAGTATCTTGGAGAATGCATTACTTAGCCTCAGGAGTCGAGACTTCCACTGCTTGCCCCCAGTTTTCCAGCTACATATAGGCCCCGAACTTTGGCCTGGCATAGGAAACTCAACATTACAGCTAAGTATGTCACAGGAGATACATTGACTACAGGCACACTGAACTCTTCTCTAAGAAAATATACATATTTTTACAACT